GTGGGGGGGGAGGGGGTTAACCGGAAGAAAAATAAAATAAAAAAAAAAAAGAAGGGAAGGCGCCATGTTGGAAGTTAAATTGGCCGAGCAGGTTTATCAGCATGCATTGGCCGCCACCCGGAAAACGATGCTTCTCTTCCAATTCGAGGTATAGAGACGCCACGAAAGATAAGCCGAGGAAACCCTCTCCCCCCCTGGTTTAGATAGAAGAAATTTCGCGACGAGCAGCGTCGAGTAAATCGTGGCTCGAATGAAGACCGCCGAGGATGATTCGAGCGTCGCGTTGCGTCCGACCGATTCACCGCGTCGAATCTCCACACAGAATTTTTATTCCTTCCCCTCCCACGTCGATCCGCCGTTTCTCCCGGCTCGATCGAGTTTCGATATTAAATATCGAAATCGAATGGAATCGCGTCAAAGTCGCATCCTCGTCCTATCAATTTCTCCTCCAAGTACTCTCCTCCAACGAGCCTCGTTAAAGGTGTGATCGACGCGATCTTCGTTCCAAACGTGACCAATCCGTTTAATAGCCAGTGCGAAACTGTCACGCGCCACGAAACGACGAAAAATCGAGGGTGGAGCGAGCTTTTATCTTTTAAGGGGAAAAGGAAACGTTTCGAAATTCGTCTCGTCTCTTCGTTTTTCGTGAAAAAAAAAAAAAAAGAAGCGAGTTAATCTAAATCGAGCCCGTTACAAATCGTTTTCCCGTTACGAAGTCGAAGTCCCGTTTCGTTAAAGGAGACGCGCTACGTCAATAATTCAACGGACTTGTCCGATTGGACTAAGAGTCTGCCTGTTAAACGGGGCGTGCTTCTTTCCATAGATCCGGTGTTTTGGAACGGAAAACCGGGAGAGTAAGAGACTGTAGTAGACTGTGAAGGAAGGAAGGAAGGAAGGAAGGAAGAGAAATGAGGGAGAACGAGGGACTAACGAACCGAGAGGAGCATCTGTAAGTGGCATTCCAAGCGCGAATTGTTCGACGATTGTTAATCGCGGCTCGGTTTGTCGATCATCGTGGAATACGTTTCGCGAATATCTCGAATATAATATTTCGAAAAATAAATATTCTCGATTCGTTTCTCTTTGGAACAGAAACGGATTGTCCCCGAAGTAATTAAAACCCTTTTTTTTATTATTATGAGAAAAAACTGTGGCAAGTAAAATTACATCCGTTGGAGGCGTTCACTCCTTGCCGACTATCTTCGTGGGGAAGAATGACGGTAATCGGACGTTGGGCGAAATCACGGGGGGAGGAAATGCGAAAGGGAGAGGAGACGCGTGGAATTGGAAAAAGGGAAGAGAGAAGAAAAAACTAGTAGAAATACGGAGTGAGAGAGAGAGAGAGAGAGAGAGGAGACAGGGATGACCGGTGATACCGTCCAATCTAATTTCAAAGGGTTACGTTCGACGCGATGGCGTACACCACGGCGGAGAATTTTCACCGAACGGAAACAGGATGGAGGAAAAGAGGGAGGAAGAGAGGGACAGTTGGAAAAAGCGAGAGAAATCTATGCCACGAATAGGAACTTACCGGAAGTTCCTCTTTATTCCCTTCCATCCCTTCTCTCTCCCTCTCTTGACTTCCCTATCCGTCTAAGCGCTGCGTTTCCGCGAGAGTAAATTCATTTTCAGCCACGGTTAGGGAAAAAGGGAAAAAAGTGTCTGTCGGCCGGTGATTTGAATTTAAGAGTTCCCTCGTGAAATCGTATTACACGGTGCAACCGTAAGGCCTCCCACTCGAGGAAATCGGAAGTAAGCGCCGCTGCACGCGAGGGAAAAAGAGAGAAGGGAGGAGGGGGCTCGATATACAGGGTATCGTAGCCGCGATAGAAGAATGAGAAGAAACGACGAATCGTTTCGCAGAAAAAAATATATAGATAGAAGAGACGATATCCAGGCGCATAGCGGAGAAAACGAAGAAACAATGAGCTTCGCGATTCTCTGATCGAATGGCACGAATGCGAAAAGGGGTCCAACGATCGAGCGCTCGACACCGAGAGGTGCTCCTCCTTGGCCGATCTTGGAGTGCGGAGAGAGGCGGAAGTTGCAAAATTAATTTGAGGCAAAAGTTTGGTAGAAAGTGAAGGAAAGCCCGAAGAAAGTTGAGCCGAAGAGGGATGATAGCGAGAAGAGTGGGCTCGGTCCCGATAGTTGCATAAGAAGAGTGCAAACCAGCCGCTGATGGTCAAGTTTCAAGCGCTTCTGCTTCCTTTTTCCTTCCTCCCTCCCTCCTTCCCTTCTTTTTCTTCCCTCTCGCGAGTTGATAAGCGATTCGCTCGGTAAATACTTTAATTGCATCGAGCACGACGTAAACGACACTGTCGGGTAATATAATATATCGCGGTTTAACTCTTCTTCCATCGACATTTGCAATTTTTCGTTCTTCGTTCTTCCCTTCTTTTCGCTTCGAGAGAACGTTTCTCGAAAACGTTTCAACCAATTTTCCAACCAAGCTTGGAACCGATGTCGGGAGAGTGGTGATCATGAAATCATTACAAATTATAGCCTCTCGTTCTGTTGCCAATTTTTTAAATCCTTCCGGATTTCATCCGAATATTTTTCGCCATTCTTCTTGATACGGCACGGCGGCCGATAAATCACGTCGATCTGCATGCATTTGCAAATACCGTGCGCAAGCTACGCTCTTTTTTATCGCTGCTTTATTGAACTAACGACCGGCGCGACCATTAAAGAGAGAGGGGGGACCACGAAGACGCCATTCGCCAGTTTGTCGTTGACCCACCGGCAGCAGCGAGCCACTTATAATAATGAAGTCGATGAAAAAAACCGCAGAACGAGAAGCTCTTCGCCACTTTTAATAGCCGTGCCGATTATAATATATTCCGTGTAT